GAACAAGATACCTGAGCTGTAAGACTGCCCTGAGCTTCCTTCACAAAAGGTCAACTGTGCATCCACAAAGCGACCAAGCACACCTGCCCTGGGTTCTGCAGGCACCTGCAGGAGGAGGATGTACATCTGCTGTTAAAACTAGTCCCTCCAAGTGTGAAGGGCAGCAGATTTAAATAGCTACGCAACTGGAAAAAAACTCTTAATGTGAAATCTAGCAAAAGAATGTTGATGTGGGCTTTCTTTGGGGTGCCGGTAGCAACCAAGCAGATCTCGTTTCCTCCAACAGACAAAAAAAACAAATCAAGAAGAGAAAAAAATATGCTGCGTAGCCTAGCTTTTGTGCAAGATGCCATTGCAGCAACTAGATTTCTTTCAGTTGAGAAAACTGAAGCTCACTCAAACATCTCTCTGCCTTCCCACCATAACTGAAGAAACAGAATTTACTGAAAAGAACAGACATAGTCTGAGCATTGAACATGGCAGTCAGGGTGGTAAGAACAAATAAATACAGAACTTGAGGCATCCAGAAAAAGTTTGGAACTGTACAAACTGGCTGGCTGCCGTTATCGGTATGGGCAAGAGGCTTCTTTCAAACAAAGAGCCTCATGAACACGTGCAAGCAACCCGCTGAATTTTCCAGCAAGGGACCTGACACGGCTCATTTTGGTAGGTAATTGGGACTCCAGTGTGCAGCTGGTTCAAGGGGAAGGTGAAACGCAGGATGATCACCAACTCATCCAATATATCCCTACATGCGATGGAGGTATATTTGGTTTCACAGCAGGAAAGGCACAAACCAAATCCCTGCAACACAGTATATTTAGAAAATTACATTGGGTTGCAAGTGGAGGATAAGGAGCCTTGAGGGGTGTAAAGCCGATGGTCAGGTTGTAGCTTAAACAGAAGGGCATCTGTTAACAAGTCCAAAGGCAGAAGTGAACGGGGTAGTGCCAGAGCCGGTCAGGCTATGCCCAGATGTGCTTGGCTTGGAAGCGCATGGCAACTGTGGCCATAAATCGGTGGCTGCACCATGGTACAGTGGGCAAGTCTGTAACATACAGAGAGCAACTACGAAAAACCTACCTATGCTCAGCCAGGTGGGGTTTAAATGATGTGAAGTGTAAGCATGGTTCAGGCAGGGCAATTTTTGATCCAGCTTTGATCCTAGCATAATTAAGAAATATTGAAATATAGAGTAGCATTTTTACTCTTCAAAAATAATCAAGTAAAAGAGTCTTGTACCAACCGTTCTTCAGTAATCTGCAGGTAAAATTCCATGTCAGTTGATTTCACAAAGAAACTGAGAGGTGCTGACACATAAAAAACACGTTATGAAAGCAAAGAAAATAAAATTAGAGAGAGTAGCTTCTATTTCAAGTGGTTTTCATTAATAATAAATAATAAAAATAAATAATAATAAAAATAGACATGCCAATTGATTTAAAAAAAAAAAAAAAAGATTCTTTCAACAGCTACTCAAAGCAAAGATGATTGATTCCTGCTTTTTGCAATTCACACCTGAGTGCATTGCTCCCACACGTTATGTTAGTTCACACTGCCACAATCACTACTGGAAAAAATATGGCTCAGATGGATTTGTCCTCCCTGGCTACAGCCTGTTTTTCCTTTGCGATAAAGATAACAAAGGAATGAACTCAAGTGCTTGGTTTAGAAAGGCTGTTCCCCCTCACAGTCCCATGTTACAACGTGACAGCAGGTGGCACTGCTCGAATTGAATCTGAATCTGCACATTTCCTCCAGCCACAGCTAGGCACAAGGGGCTGTGCAGGCACAGGAGCAATGGATTGGCTGCACAACACAAATGAATAACGGTTAAAAACACACAGCATTTACTTTATACCTATGTAAAGCCTTCACATCACTGTGCTAGCAACAGCTAAAATATGAGTCAAATATGTTAGCAAAAGAATTATTTTAAAAGATGGGAGGAGCACCCATGCAGAAGTTGAATTACCATACTTCCACCTTTCAATTTCTGCCTTTGCCTCCACCTAGTTCAATGTGATACTAGATATTCTGCTTTATGTGAGACTAGAAAGGGCAAAAGCATTCCGGATTTTAATTTGGGTGCTACTGACGTGTTATTAGAAGCTACCGGCTGCCTCCCTGCAGTGTCTTGCACCTTCAGCTCGCAGATGAAAAGTCTGCGGGGACAGCAGTCCTGGGGAAGGGAGTCTCCCTGCATCAGAAGGGTCCAATTAAAAGGCCATGCTGGAAGCTGCTCCAGCTACCACACAGAGAAGATGCACAAGCTTTGTGCAGAGAATAAAAGTTTTTCTTATATGCATATATATTTATTTACACATATTCGCATACACACACCTACACATATTATATACTAGACACCTTTGTTAATCATTTGGCAAAACAGGCTCAGAAAGGTTAAGACCTGAGGTGCACAGTGCTATATATATTTAGGCAGTTGCCAGGAATACAGATAATGTTTACTCTGAATTACAGGAATATTGCCAAAGGACAAAAGCATTTCTCCTGTACCCTTCACGCAACTGGGGAGCTTAGAGGCTAGATATAATTCATGAAGTAAGCCCACCAATATCCTAAACCCTCTGCTTGAATGTTGAATATCCACAGTTCTCACTGATTACGTTCTCCACAACATAGAGTTTAGATCTGTTATCATATTTTAACGTAAGCCTTAAAAGCCATCCCCAAGACCACTCACACATCAGAAAGGCAGGCATTTAAAAACACAGTCTTCCATGCCAAATGGCCTGCAGGCTAAGATATCCTTGATATTTTAGCAATTTACGAGTAGCAACATCACATACTGCAAAACACTCCTTGCCATACCTTCTCTGACCTTCGCATAAGAAAAATGGATTAACAGGTACCAACGCATCCTGCTGCACACACACAACAAACGCAGCCAGTTCAGAGGGTTGAAACGAAACACCAAGGAGCAGAAGAAATTATTGTAATTATTGGTTTCTAGCTTTAACACTACTGAATAGCAGCCAGGCCTATATCTCAAGAGAATAACATACAGGAAGCTTGTCCTTTCTCTTGCGAGCCTCTCTTCAACTCTTGTGTATACAGCATAGCAAAAATCCTTTGCTTAAAAAAATACCCCAGGAAAGCTAAGAACTGGTGGTGATTGATTTGGATGTGGATATGCACTTCCTGAACCTACTGACTTATTGATGACATGACATGATTTGCTTCCTTTTTTTGATGCCTACATTTCTTCAGTCATAAAAATCGTGGCAGTAGCAAGTTGTACAGCAATATTTTTTCAGTTGATCTAAAAGCACTATCTTTGCACACTTCTCTGGAAATTGTGGCCTGTAACATATTTAATAGCAAAAGATAACACACTGAGGGAAAGCAAAAGATTTTTCTGGACTGCAGCTTTCAGCAAGTTTCAGACTAAACATTTTATGGCAAGGGAAGAAAGTAGTCAGCAACCAGCAAATCCATCACCAGTAACTTACAAATTTAACTCTAAATGCATTGTGGAAATGCACTTTTTCAACAGCGATGATGAAAACACATTAGTGGAATACACAGAAAACTAAAGGAACAGGCTTGAAGAAACAGTCTCGAGATACTCACTTAGCATTGTACTTTCCTTGTCCAACACCCAAATTTCAAGACGATAATCATTCCTTTCTCTATGGGAGAGGAGTGTGCTGTCCTAGAGAGCCTCTCCCTGGTTTAACTGTGTTCTTGATGCCTCAATGTTTTTAAAACACAATCTACCTGTACTTGCAAGCACAGCTGGAAATAATGGTACTACCTGCATTTCAGATCCTAGCTTTTTCAAAAGACAAACATCCTACGCAGTCTGTTTAGTAAGATACTTTCTGTTGTACCAGAGTTATCAGGACCAGTCATTGATAAAAACACTGCAAAATTCACTTTCCCAACAGGCTAAATTTGAAAGTATCAACATTTTAAATTCCTGTACTAAATTTTGTAGCAATTTAGGCGACCCCCCACCCCTGCAAAAAGAAACTTCAACTCAGACATCTAGAGCATATATTATCATTTGACTCATGGTAATTAGTCAAATCACTACCATGATTTTTGGTATTTGCATCAGCCTTTCGGAAGGCAGTATTACTTTGCTGTTGAAATGGCGTGCTACACTTCCATTGCAGAAAAGTAAATGCCAGCATCACACATTTCTTGCAAATTGTCAGTCAATCACATCAGGAGACAAGTAACTAGAATCTCATACGCTTCCTAATATTCACAGCCCAGCCTTTCTAATTACAATGAGTTTCCAGTTAAAAGCATTCTTGCCTCAAGTAGAATTGGATTCACACACTCAGCATCTACCTTTCCCATTATTTGAAAGGAAGCTTCTAATCTTACTTGGTACAGGAACAGTATTTGCAGGAGTTTTTGCAGGAACAGTATTTGCAGAACAAGAAAAGCCTCCCGAATTTGTTGACAGTGATCTTTAATATTTAAAGGATTGGTGTGAAAAAACCTCAAAAGAAGCTGTCAAAGCTGGACACTGAGAATGCTTTTAGTTGGACAGCCATGCCACATATACAGAGTAAATTAAGCCAACTACCTTGAAAAGGTTTTATATTGATCCTTTGACAAACAAGTAAGATTAACATCAAAGCATGATAAACATTAAGAATAGAAGCAGACATGTTTGTCCGGATTATTAAGAGTTCTGCCACACAGAATACACTGAAACAAATCAAAGCATAATATTAACCAATGAACAAGCAAAAAAATTCAACATTTTGTGACCTTCCATTAAGCAATGAAACAGCTAAGTGTCCTAATGGTACGATAAGATAATTGACTCTATAAATGTTTTTCCAAATCCTAAACTAGCTTTTCAAATATCATTGTAATAGCACAGTATAGGCTAGTATCAAACTTATTTTTAGGTAAGTTGCCTTTACTCTTGACATTAAGTTGTATGTACATAGTGCTGTAAAGAAATCTGTTATCTGTCTGCCTGTCAGGCCATGAAAGAGATAAGCACACTCCAGCCAGATTAGGAAACAAACATTTATTAGAAACTTGTAGTTTTATAGAGCTAAAAAAGTAAACATATGTTTCTTAACAGAGAGAGGAAGAATATACAATTTGAACACACAGTCACTGTAAAGGCACATAATGAAAAATTAAATTTGAACGGCTCCAGCTTTTCAAGATCTGAAAACATCATCACCATAATTTTCAATACTCATAATGGCACTTATACAATATAAACCAAAGGAACCAGGCCTAGAAGATAGATGCTGCTTCAGTCATCACTGTATCACACACATTTGCTTATTAGTCACAGTCAAACAAAAGGACTGGGAAACAGAACGCACAGATCCCACACAGATACAGGGATGTTGGGAGGGGGAAAAAAAAAAAAAAAAAGAGACATTTGGATCAGAAAGGCTTCATATGCATGCAAGATAATTTGGATAGGATGACTTTTTGCTTTTCAAACAAAGTGCAAAGTCCAAGGTTTCCCAAAAGACGCAGCTAAAGCTGCTACTTTATAAAATCAGATGACACAACATTTTATAATACAGATTATTCAGAATTGTTATATATCAATTTACAGAGAATAAACTGCAACCACAGAAGCACTGAACACAGATTTGCTAATCTGACTATTTGAAGAACATGGCTCAAAGTCTTCTGTATTTGGAACGAGGCAAACCTCTGGAGTTTGTTCATCATCGTTGCCCTCCCCTCAACGGCCCTCAAAGACTTTACATAAATTTAGCATGAGAACAAAGTTCTTCCTGCACTAACCCAATTTCAGGAAGTAGTCTAACAGAAGTGGCTTTTAGAAGGTCAAGATAAGAGTAACCTCTGCAAATTCAGAATTAAGACACCATACGGTTCTGAATGGCTCTGCAGAAAGCAGAACAAATGAATTCTGCAACAGCTATTACTCTGTCTCAGGATTCAGGTCTGAAGGCATCTGAAACGTGCCAAAACAAAGGAGGAAGACACTTTGGAAATGATTATACATGGAAATACCTACTCTCTGTACTGAGGAAGTGCTTCTTTGTTTTTGGGCAAGTAACTGTTTCTCAAGTACTAAAGTTCTCTGTATGTGCTTTGTTTGCTTCGTTAACAACGTGAACCCAGTGGGCACGTGAGTGGCTCAACAGTTCCACTTGGTCACTCAGACAAAATGCTTTGATATTTTATGATCCCAATTTCACACAAACAGCCAGCATGCACAGTCTAGAGGACTGTGAGGGAAAGAAGCTACACCTCATGTTATAAACTGGTAAAACTTTTACATAATGATGCAATCCACTATTAACTAAAAGCATGTACTTGATTTTAACCCTTTGAGTAGGAAAAAAATGGAGTGTCCAAAACGAGAGAAGCATTCCTCTCCCCACAAGGCAGCTAGGATGAGCTCCAAGTTCTTGACAAACTTGGTGTACTCCTCGTAGCACAGCCAACACCTAATTCGTTATCAGCGTAATAAGGATCCCTCACCCTCGTTTTTTTAAGTAGTAGCTTGTACTTGTATGGAATGGATCCAGTAACCCAGTAACTTTTTCTACTTCTAGATATTATGATCCTATAAAATGCGCATCTGTAAGCCCAAGCTTGTTGCGGTTAATGGTGCAAACATTTACAAATGCAATAAAAAGTGGATCCAGGGGAGCAAGTTATTAAAATCACCGATTGTATCACAAAAATACTGTGTAAAATCATTTGAGGTATTCCAACATCATGGAACAGCAGTTTCTCAGATTCTCATTGGTTTAAACACAAGACAGGTCAGTCTGGATATAAAGATGTTTGCGTGCATTTTAATGTGTTAGTCCATCCTTGTTTGTACCCAAACCTAAGTTCTGAAAAAACATCATTTACGTCTTCAAAAAAGAAAAAACAGTACTAAGTGCTTACTTCTAGAAGTGCAAAATGTTGTCTGTGCTTGAGTGTAGGCGGTGTCACAATATAAAAAGTCACTTTTGTTTATTCAGTGTCAAGGCAGTATAGACTTCTCCTACCTTTGGTTTCGTCTAATCCAAATACACAGGAAGACAAATACAAGAAAAAGCCAATGAGTAAAATATGCATGATTTCCTGAAAAAATGAACATATTGTTGATTGAAAGACATAGTTTCTTGATTTTTTTTTTTAAATTCAGTGACATTTTAAAGTGCAATATAGGTATCTGTTAAAAAAATCGTGAGTTAGAAATTAAGGAAGTTTCTTCCAACTTGAGGGCAAAAATAGAAGTTGCAGACCTCTCCACAGAAATCTGTCTCTAACTGTGAGAACAGATTACTTGAGAAATCGTTTCTGTTCTGGTGTTTCCAACAATATTAGAAACATCTCACCTTTTTGCTTCACTTCATGCAATTCCCAAATTCTGCTTCATTTTTTCATACACAACATAGCTGATGCTGACAGCTGGAAGCACCTTCATAAAATTAGGGGCTATGCCCCTATAAAGTCCTCGTACTCCTTCTGTAGCAATAATTCTTTGAAAGAGAGCAACCATGTTTAGCTGTGGAGCACCTTCCACTGAGGCTAGAATAAAAAGATAGCCCATGTTATAAAGGAGTTTTAGTAATATTAGAGTTCAAGCAAGTCTTAAACAAGTGGGTAGTAAGCACATCACCTCCAGGACCACTGATTTAAAACTTCTGTCCTCACATAGAAATTAGATCTCTCTTTAAAACCCAGGTATTCAAGAGATATCCATGTGCCTAAATCCCACTGAAAAGCATGAGCGACCTACATTTCTTCAGAGATGTGCTCAGGCTAGGGGCAGGAGCCTACAAATCGACCACACCATTCTCTCTTCTAGCAAAGTGCTTTCACAGACTGTGACAGGAGCTCTATGAATGGCACAGTCTTCAATGTACCATGAATGCTGCTATATAGAGAGTGCTAGTATCCATAACTTTACATTAGAATCAAGCACGATAAGGAAAAGCAGTCTTCCTGGCGGGAAGAGGGGAAGGTAACATAGGAAGCATTTTCCAGATAAATCCTTGGCTTTCAAAGTATTTTTTTTCTTCTCATATCCTTGCCACACCCATCCCAAGTGGCACTATTTGATGTAGCCATACTGAAACACTTCAGTACAAGCCTCACCTTGAGCCTGCATGCGCGTTCTGACAAGAGCAAGAGGGTAGCTGGCTAACTGCCCACACGTGCTGGAAATAGTACCACATCCCAACAACACAAAAACACCTGGGTTAGCAGAGCTTGATGCATAGTGTTCTAGCCATGTAGTCTTTAAGAGCTGCCAAGATACAAAATTAAATAATAAGACATAATAATAAGACACCTGCATTCAAGACAAATAAGATTTGTTATGGGTTCAATCCTGCAAGCACCAAGCTCCCTACACCAGTCCTACGTGCTTACTTTTAAAGTTCGCAGGTATGTAATTGATCAGTGCTCAAAGTTAAGTACATGGCTAAGGACTTTAACTGGATTAGAGCAATTGGTGCCTAGCAGATAAATCCTTAAAAGATCCAGCCGCAACAGCATGGAGTAACAGTGCCCACACTCTAGACCTGTTAATCCCAGAAAAGAAAAAAGTTATGCCACAGAGGTTGCAACAAAACTGTACACAGCCTGGCACGTCACCCCATGCAGAAGTAGAGGTACGAACTGTAGAACAAAACCTCCACAGTACTGTGGAGGCACGTTTCCCCAAGTAATTCTACTGATTACTATTACTGCAATACCACAAAAAGATTTGCCTATACTAGAAAAAAAATTAGTATGTGCACCTGAACTACTTTAACAGGTTTTTAAACACCACCTAGCATCCAAGGTAGATAAAACAAGTTAGCTGGTGCAGGTGGGTTTAAGAGGTGCCAAATTTCTCCTGAGAAGAAAGCGGGCAGTATTTTAAACTTGCCACAGGTACTACATGACAGCAGCTACAAAGAATTCTGGTGACATGCACAGATATACAATCAGATTACTATAACCCAATCAGATCAAATTGTGAGAAAAAAAAAAAAAGAGTATTAACAGTCATAACTGCACGAGTAAATAACATATGATTATCAGCCATTTTCTTAAGGCTCAAATTTGCTATAGAAGGGGCATGCTCCATGGCAGGAGGGCCGTGTAAATACACAAGTAGGTCGTACTGCCCAAGGCCATAATCCTTCCTGATGAGTAGCTCTCTTGTTTGGTGCTACAAGAAGAAAGGACCCTTGTATGGTTAGATGAGACTGCTGTGTGTAAAGGCCTGTCTGTATAGGCTCTCCTCCGGGGAAGAGGAACAAGTAAAGTGTTAAAGTCTGTAGTAAGTTCTCAGCAAAATGTTATTTATGTATTTTAAACTGGAGGTAACTGTAACACTTTACAAATCTGAGTAACGACATAGTTTTTTCTAAAGAACATTTACTCTTTTTGTACATTAATTAATTAAAATCACAACTATTCAGTGATCTAAGCTCACCTCATAAACAGCAAGGTCAATGCCAGCATAAGGAATTATCCCCAGAATATTAGGAATATAACCTTTGTAGAAGGCCTTTACACCTTCTCTTTTTAAAATCTTCTTAGCACAGTCAAACATCCCAGAATATTGCCCTGTTTTACCCACAGCCAATCTGGTCTTTAAAACCTACAGGAAAAAAGAAAAGAGTACCCTTAATTACATACCTACTTATTCACGTAGTTTATAAAGATAGGAAAACTAACACTGCATATTGCTGCCTATTCAGTTATCGTCTGGAACCGCTTTGTATTTTGCTACTTCAAGGCTCCTTTGTGACAACAATTGTTAAGGCTTGGCAGCAGTGAGCTTTTTCAGGTTTTTAATCATTCGTGCAGAATAGTAGATCCTAACAAATGGTAGCTAACAGCCTTTATTTAGTTTAAAAAAAAAAAAAAAAAAAAAAAAAAAAAAAAAAAAAAAAAAAAAAAAAAAAAAAAAAAAAAAAAAGAGAGAGAGAGCACACGTAATGGAAGATAGTCTTTTTACATTGTGTTTTACCATTTTCTTTTCCTGATTAAGACAAACAGATTTTGATCCATTTGAAGGCATCAGCACGGACAGTGCTTAATAGGAGCACCAGCTAAAGAACAAGTGGCAGTTTTAACATACTAGCAGATCCATACCTCCGATCTGGGAACAGCGAAGCACACTGAGAAAAATAATCTTTCAAAAAGCACAACCTCATGAGAGGTAGTTAAGGGATATAAAGATTGCTTCTCCTTATTAAAACAGAACACCTGATTAATAGCGCAAATGAGTCTATACAGCATCTTAAGACAAAGAATGAAGAAGAGTATCTAAAGGACATCACAGAGGGAATTTCCTGAGCAAGAATGTGGCCTACTTTCAAGTCTCATAAGATTGCAGCTTCCTTAGGAGCTCCCCAGCACTTTGCTTTTCTCTTTTACTCAGAAATACTCTAAAAAACAATTCTAGGTCAGTATTATATCTCTGTTCAGAAGACCACAGCGCCTTCTTGTACAATAGTTCACCCATCTCAATTGATCAGTAGAATCCAGGTGATCAACGTAACAATTCAGTTATTCCATAACTTAACACACCTCTGTACACAGAAGCTAACTGTGATTCAATGGCTCTAACTGCAAGCTTTGATTTAAAAAAAAGATCACTACCACTGTTGGCAATGAAAACAGCTAGGTTTTATTCCCATTGACATTCCTCCTCATGAAAGAGATACTGAGATTGCGTTTTCCCTTACTTTCAAATTTGCTGTTGGTACCGGTTTAATCCCAGCCCCAACGTACATTCCAGTAATTCGCACAAAAAGAAAAACTTTGTGGAGAAACAAAGTATGTTTTATCTCAATTTAAAAACGCAGGGTGTAAAATAGCTACTCTACAGCAGTTAATGCAGTAAGAGTAGTTAAATTACAACATAAGTAATAACACATACATACATGTTCTACAGAAAAAATAGAGCGTTTAATCATCAAGCCGTAGCTGCTTTACCAAATGTAGCTATTTTATACTCCTTCCACATAGACCACCTAATCTGACCCAGCTTCCAACTACCATACAACAGAACTTTATCAAATCTGCTGTAACAGACAAGATCCTTCCTTACCTACATATACAGTGAGAATAAAATTTAAGTCCAGTTTAGAAAATAATTTGAATATATACTTAATTGTAAATGTGCTCCTTGTTTCTGTTTCCTGAACTAGGTTTTAAAGCCATATTTAAATATTGCTCTGAATAGAGATTTTCTTAATTGCAAATTTCAAGTACAGTCATCCCATAACATAATAATCTAATTTCTGGTTCACGTACAGAGAGAAATGACACCATTACCTAAACTCCCAGTAGCTTTTAGGTAGTAAATTTAAATAAAAAAAGAATAGCCAAAAAGATAGAAAAGTGACAGGTATCGATTATAATGTAGTACATTTCAGAACATCTACTAGTGAAATTCTGAAAGAATAAGTCTCCAAAGGAAAAATAAATGTTAGGATATAGACACTATTCCTACAATACTTTCAAGAGTAAAATGGGTTTTACTCTGGAAAACAACTGGACATTTGCCAGCGTCTTCCAATGCAAGCAGATTCTCTGTTACTTACCTCCATAGGATAAATAGAGGTTTGTGCTGTTGCCCCAGCCAAAGAACCAGATATAAATCTTTCAATGGTGCCTAACTTTCCATCATCCTTACTCAGTATCTTTTTATACTGTGTAGATAAAATACATAAAACAAACATCATGTGCTTTTCTAGGAGAAGCATGAATTACCATGAGAGACAGAAATACAGTACAAAATGTCTTCAAGCTGTATTATAAACATTTACTAACATTATAAACATTTACTATTCCATCATTCAGTCTTGCAGTACCCCAAGTACTTGACTTTCTGTTGCTTTTGTTCTCAATGCTAGTATAGAGACATGCAATGTGTTACCTGAGTCTTACCTGAGGCTCTAGCAAGTCCTACAGAGCAACAAATAAAGACCAGTTAACTACATTAAAACTGGAGTTCCTTTTCCAAAGGAGGATTAGGCCTTAATATGCTATGTAAAGCTGATTCAGAGGTAAATATAACTCTGAAATCCAGGGCTAGGGCACCTTACATAGCAGAATGACATTTGACCTAAAAAGAATCCGGTATAAGTCAGACTAGCATAACATATCAAATCTTAGGTTGTTACCACTTTGAAACAAAAACTAAGATATTTATGCAATAAAGTTAGGCAGACTGGAGGACAGTTTAAAATCTGTGACAGATTTAGTTTCTTATTTACACTGTTTATAATTTAATACTAAAATCTGCGTACTACTAGATAGTCTATTAACTGAAAAATTAGACTATTTTAAATCTGATGAAAGTACCTCTAAACTAGTGTGACGAAATCTCCATCCATGGTAAGAACTCACACATATTACAACTGTGCAAATGATGAACAGTGAGTAAGACAGTATTTTATTTCCTATTATATTCATTCATTTATTTTTAATTATTAATTGCCTTACTGATTTAGCATCCTACCTGTTCATAAGCCCAGAACTTAATAGCTGTTTCAGGAGCTATTTTCACAACATTTACACCATTTCCCCTCCAAAGAGATCGGACACCACCTTCTTTCACCATCTGTTTAAAACCACTGGCTATACTCATTTTCTTTGATTTTGAACCATGAACCTAAAAAAACAGAAAAAAACAAAAGTAAATCACAGTAAGGAACACTGCTCTGGTCAGAAAGTAAAACCAGCAAAAATACATCCCCTATTGACAAAAATCTTACTTCAGTGGCACAAATACCATACTGTTTTTGTTTACGTTTTGCCATCATCGAGGTGGAAAGGACACTTTCAGAAGAATAGGGCATCAATCCATAAATCATTATATCTACCTTTAGGTAGTTATGAATCAAGTGCGAATGTAAAACAAAATATGGAAATTTTAAAGTCATAATTAGACCTTCTCTAGAATTTAGATGTGTATTTGGCCATGAGTTTTCCGGAAGAGCTCTCTGTAAAAGCCGAAATAATATGCTGGAACCTAAAATGTTCTTAAATGTTGCACCTACCTGCATCATCACTTTAAGACGATCTAATGGTGCTGTACCTGTTCGAGAGACAGCACCAGCCACTCCTCCTGCCAGCAGCTGTTTCCACCACTGTCCAGTCTTTTTCTCTTCTTCTGTGAATTCATCTGGAATAGTCAAACTATCTCCTATATCCAACACCTATTAGGACCCAAAGCAAAGATGTGCAAATAACTATGCCATTTCATCTTCTCAATTTTATCGACAGTTCTGATTCCAATTAATCAATCACCTAAGAATATACAAGTAAAATGCTAGTTTAAAAAAAAAAAAAAACACATTCTATAATTAACTTGCTATTGATTTCTACTGCAATTTAATGAAGAACCATTTTGTAATGACTTCTGTGCAGATAGTGAATAATAATGCTGCAGACCCACCATTTCAAATACTGCACCATCATCATGAAAAACGATGACAAATTCCTCCTGAGCATCGCCCAAGCAAAGACATTTTGTCATGTTCTGTAAACCTTTCCAGCCAGCACTAAAGCACAAATGCTTACATGTTACTGGCTAACCTTTCACCAGCCAGTCTTCTGGGATTATCTTGATAATCTCTGAAGGATTAAGAGATTTCTCTCTAATGGTAATTTATTCATACACATGTTTCTTATGACATATTAAAATAGCATTATTATAGCTGATGTATCAGCATAAATAATCAATTTCCATTAACTGCTGCGTATTAGCTTACAAAAGGACTAATTTGACTAATCTATTAAAATTTTTCAGAGTAACTGATGATACGAAATGTTGTAACTGAATACAAATCAGTAATGTAAGTCTGAAATTTCATTAACAAGTGCATGCTTGCATTACCATTCAACTTGATCAGTGAAGAACGTTACTACAGGCCTTTACAATAAAACAAAGAAATAAGACCATGTAATTTTATATCCCACTTAAACATAGCCTTTCTTCATGTAATTCATAACCATAAATTAGAAAAATTATACCAAAGATAATAAGCCAGTATTATGCATAAGTCAAACACTGAAAGAGGCAAGAATGTTTTATTAATTGATAAAAAGCACCAACCAGGAACTGTGTTAAGTGATACACTGCTGATTACTACTGCTGATTTTAATTTAGATCTTACTCCCCATTTATGTCAAGTTCCTTATCTGTAAAAGTAGGGAGAACACCATCTTGCTCATTTGGACTACAAGAACTGCAGGATGCAGATTAAGCCTATAGCCATTGTATAAATAGAAAAAGCGCTAACTCTTCTGGATATTGAATATAAAACAGATTAATTGGAAAATCTTTTCATCTTTCTGACATTCAAGGCTTCCAAATAAGGTGTTATAAGTTGGTCAACCACAAGGGGAGTCAATTAATCAAAAGATTAATCACAACTCTCAAAAATACACTTATAGATATTAAACATATTTGCCAGAGTTTAAGGCTTGAGTGGGCATTTTGTAACAGAAAGACCACAACTCCCAGCTCATAATACTCCTGTGTCAATGTAGCTTTATACTCAGAAGAGTCTGACAGCAATCAACATTTTTACAGTAAAAACAGAATTCAAAGACCTGTTAATGACAGCCCAGTGTTTGAGGCCTCACATTTGCTGTTATCTGAAACACCAGCTGTGATACTATACAGCTGGATTTTGGCTTGCTGTGATAACTGGGTTGTGAGCTGACTGCATGTAAAGATCACAAGAGACTGCTAACCTTGTTCCTTGGGGGTAACCAAGGACATTCCATAATAACAGAAACAGAACTTTTATTTAATAAAAGTAATACAAAAAAGTATTATTAAAGATAAAACGCAGGTATTTTTCCCTAAACAAGCTAGGGCCAGGACTATCTGATCTCAAAGTTAAGTGCTCCAGTTGTTTTCCTCAGAAAACACGGAGCTCCCTTTTGGCAAGCATCTCCTCTGAAACAGGGCTGAGCAGAGCGAACCACTCAAAGCTGTCAGGTCTCATAAGCCATTTTTTATTATGGAAAGGATAATTGATCCCTGAAGATACAATGGTCTTACTATATTCAAAGAAATCTGTCTTTACCTACTTTATGGATTATGCCAGTCATCTACAGGAAGAATATTTAGCAGTGAAGACTATTATTGGTTGAGAGTTTACTTATTATTTGTTCTTATAAGTCAATCACTGTAAAGTGATAAGCACTCCATTCAGTAGTAACTTGAAAAATTTTATTCTCATCATTCTTGAATGAAATCCTACAGCACAAATGAACATATGAGAACGTGAGCACAGAAAATCATCAGAAAAGAAACGAGTGATTTCATGGTAACAATAATATAATTATATAAATGCAATTGCTGAACTAATAAAAGTTAAAAATGCTTCTGTAATTTGTTTCAACACATAAAAATGTATTGTAATGTAAAAAAAAAAAAAAAAGATTTAATACTGTGGTTAGCATTGTTTTGTGGAACATCTTCAAAGAAAGAAAGGATTCCTTTCTCCCTAACCCCAACTGCTGGCAAAATTTAGACCAAGGAAGAGTTCTTGTTCAGAACAAGCTCACACCACACTATACTACTTGTACATGGGAAAGCACAAAGAAGTGAGAGGGAAAACAAACATTTTTTAATACAGATATGCTTGAAATTTAACAGAAATGGATTTAAGACCTGCACTAGAATTAAAATAAATCTGAACTTACAGTGGAATGTTTCCAGTATCGAATTATTTCTTCAATATCTGTAGCTGGATTAAACATAAAATGATCTCTCCATTCATTCCAGTCTACTGTCATTGTCCCATCAGCATCAATACTGAAAAGAGATAAAACAAAACCAGGTAAAGAAACAGTGGAAAGGTTTTTTTGTTGATGTTATTTTTTAATCTATGGAAGTTATCAGGGAGGAATTACTGTAGAGACCATATTGTGACTTTAAAGCTGAATCTGTCATGGTTTTTCACTACCATGCTTTGCTGATCTGAATGCATCTAACATGTTCCATTTAGAACTGCAGTATAACACTTAATTCCACCAACATTTACAGCCTTTGTTTCAGAAAACGAGATAAGACATTCCCCTTCAGGAACTAGATGCTCAGCTAGTGACTAGACTTTCTATCATCCAAAAATGGACAGAATATGTGAGAATTTCTATAAGGGAACCACTGAAGTTACCAACAACCCTTCAGAGTTATAATCCCATTCTTCAACTAGTCTATTCTACTGAATGCACACAATAAGGAACAAAAAACATATTCTACTCCTGTTCATAAAACTCAGTAACAGACAGACAGACTTCACTGGGTAGATTAGACAGACCAGTCTACACTCTTCCAATCTTAAATACTCTGATATCTTCTATACAGTCAGGATATGAGGGGGTAAGGGAGAGCAGGGGGCGTAAGGGTCATCTTGGGGGTGGGGAGGGATACTTTGGCTATTGAGGGAAAGGTTTACCAAAGGTGCACCTTTGCAATGTGTCATAAAGCTCAGATGATTTGACAGAGACACCGGGCTGGCAGGGCTGCCAAGGAATGACTGATCCAGCCTTTCATAAGGACAGGACAGCGCCATCCAAGCTCTGTCAGATGGATCTCTCATCCATCAGATGCATCTTCAGAGAGGCATCACACAGCCCCAAGAATACAAACTGTTAACATCTAGTCACTTTACCTGTAACTTTCCCATTTCGTATGTCAGAGGACAAAGTTCACATTACAACAGGTAATAAGTTGTTCTTGATCACAGTTAGAGCTGAGGCCTCCTCCTACATTCAAGATTAGTAAATCTGCAAATCCATAACACTAAAACAATTCCAATCATTTGACAAAATGATTAAATAATGAGAAGAGTTATTCTATTAGAATGTAGACTTCAAGTCCTGTAAACCTACATAGTGCAGTCCTCAAACAGTAAACGTGATGGAAGTGGGTTTTTTTTGTTTCGTTTTTTAAACACAAGAGCCAACACAATTCTTCAGCTGCAATATCCAAGGAAAGCAAGGAATATTCTTACCACTAAAACTGAGGCTTACTGGAGAATCCTAGAGCTTTTACTATGAACAAGAGAGTCCAAAACCACAGTGAACTTTTTTTTAAAAAGGCTTTGCAAACCAATTATGCATTCAGGTACAAATGAAGCATTTGAACACAGGCTCACTCCTAAATCTTCTGAAAATAAATGTACTTTATTTAAAAGTCTTTCTTGTTCAACATTCTTTTAAATCTGTATTAGAAAAACATACTTATGAAAAATACAAGGAAGAATATACAAGCTCAAAAATACTTTAAGAAATAGTAATTCCTGACCTTTGCAGAATCTTTTCTGCCTGGTTTTCAGAAATGTTTATACCCAGTATCTTGAGGGACTGGACAACTTCTGATGCTTCAATTTTTCCTTAGAACATTTAAAGAAAGAAGACACATTTAAACATGAAGCTTAACACACTTAGCACTTTGAAGCTCACTGAATTCCATCATATGACAATTACAAAAGAGCACAGAACACTTCAATTGAAACAGAGATGATCTATTTTGATCATCTCTTACAAGGATGGAGCAAAGGTAAGTACATTAAAATCATGCAACCAAATGAGATGCAAATATCCGGTGAGATAATAGCTAGAAAAATATATATATCTATCTATCTTTAAGAGATAATTAGAAACTTCCTCATAGTTTCTTCATCTGGGGAGCAAAGGTTCTTAGGTCAACAGACCTGGAAGATACAAAAAAGGGAAAAAAGACTATAATCATTTTATAGTTATTTCCATCTACTGTGAACAATCCTAATTATGTTCTTATTAAGGAAAACAAAGGTTCCACATTTGCAAATTTTGTCTCCTGTCTAGAAAAGAATAAAAATGAAGGTGACAACTTTTAATGCATAATTCCTTCAAATAACATTTGAACGAATAAAATAAAACAAGACATACCATCATTGTTTTTGTCCAGGCTCTTGAATGCTAGTTTCATTTTTTTCTCGTGATCTTTAAGATACTGCATAAATTCTTCGAAATCTAGCTGCCCATCCTGGTTAGTATCTCCAGCTTTAAAAATTTTCTGTTGGGAGAAAATTAGACATTTGACTTATCCAAATTAGGGCAGGTCACAAAATAAAAACAGCATGGCACAGCCCAGGCTTAAAATTAAAATGTCGCACTGGTCAGTTTAGGGAGGGGAGTGGTGTCAAATCAGGAGAATACCTAAGCCTACACTTCAGGGATATATTTTGTTCCCAAAATTTAAACATATTCTTAGTGCTTTCATAAAAAGAGAAAACATTCAGCAGCCAAGAGATTTAGAAAAGTATTATTTAGTGTTTCCATAGCTTTTCTATTCAAAGAACACACATTTTCTTACAAGCAGTGGCAAGTTACACCTACAGGTATTGCATCTTTTGCGAAGGAGGGAGCAGGGACATGACAAAACCAGGAACGAGACCAACTTTAAGCATGTAACTTCTCTGGTTGCACATGAAAACTACAAAGTGTCAGTCAATTTAAACAAATATCTTCTTGACTACCCTCTTTAACCTAGTGGCTTATTACTTCTGAATTACAAAGATAATGCAAATAGCAGTTAACTGTTTAATTGCTGACCAAACAATACAACTGTCTTGTCTGACTAGCACTTCCACCTCCCAGAGTTTGAGATGGTAGTGCTTTCCCCTTCATGAGACTGAAGCCCTGACTAAAACCTGACTGTATTTCCCCTGCAGCAGGAGTTCTGTTATCTTCCATCTTTGCATCAGTGTTTCCCAGTAACTGTTTTGCAGATAAGAAACACCTACATATAAAATTAACTACAAGTTGAATACAGGGCACAAGAGTTGCGAGCACAGCAGGAAAAAAGTCTGAAATACAGACTAGGGTTGTGGCCCAGCTGCCTAGGCACATGCTCTTCATTCATCTCCACAGCATCAGACACCTTATCATCTTTCTATCTGAAAACCAACTTTTAAAAAGGGGAAATTGCAGCAACCACATGGAGCAGTAGTCTCTAACCATTGAGGCATATCCTCCTCAAAGGCAAGGCCCTGAGAAGAGTTAAGCCCAGGGTAATGAGCGCCATAGGACTTATTAGCTGGGGCTTCAGGCTAGCACAAGGGCTGCTACGCACAGGGAGAGCTGCGGGGAAAGCAGCAAGGATGAGGCATGGCACAGCACAGCACAGCAGCACTGCTCTGATGGGCACCCTCCGTCTCCTCTCATGCCTTCTCCAGATCTGCAGTCTTCAAGGGATGAAGAAGCACAGCAGGTCCAGCAGGACATCAGGGACAGGGAATCCACTCCAAATCCCTGCTCTAGGACACAAAGTCTATGGGAAAATTATGCCCCATCTTTTCACGTGGCATCAGTTCCTGCATTTTCTCTTCCCTCAGTGTATGAGATCCTAAGGGGACAGCATACTGTACAAGAGCTGTTCTAGGTGGACGGAAGACCAACCTGAGAGCAGAATTTTTTTTTTTTTAAATTTGCAAAAAATTTCAGAGCACTTCATGGTACATCTAGGGCCTATGCTGAAGATTCTTCCAAATATCACCTTTGTTAAAAACTGCCTTGCACAATTGCAGCTTCTGAATAAGATACAGCTCTCAAAATTGGCTTGGTTATTCTCATGTACAAAATTTGTTTTTACATCATTTGCTTACTTCATTGTAATTAGTATAAACATGCTCAAATAAAAAACAAATCCTCAAAGAACAAAGTCCAACAAGGTCTAGCCCAGAAACATTGAACATAATGAAAGTTGAAAACCATCATGCATTTGTTGTAGGCGTCTGAAAAAATCTGAAACGTCTAAATACATTTATGTTGCCTCCCTTATCTCTCCTATTCCTTTAGGAAAAGAGGTCTACTTTAATGTTTAATCTCAAAAAACCAAAATTCATGATTGCATCATAGATCTCTCAGTGGAAGGGGGAAGGATTATATGGTACTTCACAGTGAAATAAGAAGCAGAAAATTTCTTCTGCAGTGCTGTTCTTAATGTACCATTAAGTCCAGAATATTTGTATTGCTGATTAAAAAAATAATAATACTCTTATCAATCCAGTTTCATCTGATGCCTTTGCCAGTTCAGTTAGGGCTGTTCAGAATTTCCCATCATATAAAAACAGCTTATGTAGCTTATATAGATGTATGGATGGATTCCTTATTATGCCTTCTAATAAGAAATGCTAACAGATTAATCCTTCAAAAATTAAAAAAAAGAAAAAAAAATTAGAAACTGACTCAAGTCAGAAGAGAGCCCCTACTGCAAAGACACCGTAGTCTTAATCCATGTTGCTCCATGTATGCACTGCACCTTATACCACAGGATCTTAGTGCCTTCTGGGACTTGCACAAGCTACTGAGAATGGGTAACTTACAGGGAGTCACATACATATTTTGAGTGAATTCTAATCAGAACAAATTGTTCCTATTCCCTACTACTATCTGAAATACACGGACAAAAGTAAAGAACAAGGAAAGCGTTGTTCTGGCCCACAGCTACAACAAAACATTAACTAAATTCCAATTACAAAATCTCTGTTGCTGACGATGATGTGAACCAAAGAAAACGGAAATTCCTGGGAGGTTTAGAGAGCTAGCAATTAGTGTGCGAGGGGGGCGCCTTTCATTTTACCTGCCAAATGAGCGGATTTTATTTATATGGCAAGAATTAGAAAAGGATAAGCACAAACCTACTCTCCACTCCCTACTTCTGTTTTTAGTTATTTTCCCGACTTCGAGCCAGTCTCAATCGCTCTGGTTGTAGCAGAAGAGAAGTGACAGGGAACAAAAAGGCACGCATTTCCTCAGCAGGCACATTCATTTTGCTCACATTACAAATCTAAAAGCTCATACAAATGCTCTATAAAACATACCATTTGCTTGGGTGTTAAAATTTCATATTAAAACCAGTAATTTGCAAGTTTGTGAAATACACAGGAACACTCAAAGGGTCTTGTCTTTCACTTAGAGGGCAGGAATCACCTCTCAGAGGGTTATATATTCCATGGGCATAACTGGTAAGATACCCACTTGAATCTGCAGGGAGCCTGAAATAGCAACTCCCAAATGCAAATTTTTTTTTCTCTTCATAGCGTCATACAGGTGGGAAGGGACCTCTGGAGATCATCTAGTGCAACCCATTGCTCAAAGCAGGTCTAATTAGACCAGGTTGCTCAGGGCCATGTCCAGTCGAGTCCTTAACAGCTCCAAGGATGGAAATTCCCCAACCTCTCTGGGCAGCCCATTCCAGTATTTGACCATCCTCACTTCATTCTAGTAAGGAATCACTCTGCTGTTCTGCATTTAATATACTAAAAGATAACAAATTGTGCATAGTTACAAGCATTTGTCACTTTGCCACTTCCTTGTTCACCAACTTGTCTGATAGAGAGTTAGATGCATTTTAGCACAGGCATCCTTACGACGATAGGGCAGGATCCAAATTGGATTCTGGTCCTTGCTTAGAAGTCCTGGGAAATAGATATGTTTAATGTGCCTAGCACATACCTGCCATTTCTCATTACAAAATTCGTGTGGGAACACCACACCTTTATGTGGACTCAACCCCAAGGGAAAAAATATTTTTCCAAGGCATGCAATTTCTTCTCTCATTGTCTGAAAACTTTAAACCCAAGCAATAAAGAAAATCCACTAGACACAAAGATATGCTGACCATATTAAGAACCAGTACTTACTGACTGAACTAGGAAGATAGAGTTTGGATGATATTTCCTTTTAATGCCATCAGGTTTCCCACATTCTGACTAGAAATGCTCCTGACATATTTGTATCATGATACCACTTCCCCCCCAACCTCCCCTTTCCCTCTCCTTAAAAAAAAAAAAAAAAGCTGCTACTTTTGTTCTTTTCTGCTGTGTAGTTTAACACAGCTGCTTTCACAGCCCTGCACAGCAAAGCAACTCCAATCAGAAACACCACACCAAAAAAAAAAAAATTTATTTCAAAATCGTATTGTAAAAAGATGCTGCAGCGTTGAATTCCTACTTCTTCAGGAGTACTCCACTACCTCTACTTCTCTGAATTTGCTGGGCAACGCTAAACCAGATCTGTTGACACAACTAGGAAAGTTACAGACAGGTTTTACGGATATCTACAAATTCTGATAGCTATAAGTGGCTTGAAGAATTATGAGACTACTCTGCAACAAAGTTATGATTTTTAATGCATCTGTAGCTACAATATAAAGACAGGGAATACATGACACTGGAAATCTTTCTGCTTTTATCTAGACTTTTCTTTTAAATTCCCAAGAGGTTAGCTTTTATCTATTACTTAAAACCATGATTTTTTTACTGTATGCAAGGTTTCACAATCACACTCTTCTGGTTACAAAACTTAACTGTATGTGAAAGGTGGGGCTGCTTAACATAAATAAGAACAAATCATTAGCTCATTATTTCAGCTAATTACTACAATTTTAAAAAAAATGCTTAAAAGGAAGGGGTCCATCAAGAAGCCACTGGGCACGTCTAGTTTTCTGCCATGTTATCTACAGGACATAAGTAAAAAGGAACAAGGCTTAAAGACTCATAATTGGTGTAATCAGTAACTCATTGTTCTATAATCTATGACTAGAGCTCTAAAGGGCACAGTTGCAAATATTGCACGGCCTTATGTCTAGGAACATTCAGAAATTTCACATTTTCTTTTAAAACTAGATGTACTATGTATAAAACCAGTCATGCCACTCTCTTCTCCTCTTCTCCCATTTTTCTGTTCCTGCCCTCTCCGCCTCCAAAATAATTAGTGGCATACTCATTTACACAGACCCGCACTCTAGACTTTAAACTCACTGGAAGCCAAATTCAGTCAGAGTTCAAGTATACGCAGCTCCTCTCTATTGGACACATACCCTCCAACAGCAAAAGTAATGTAGTCCCTTTCCTATCTACTTCTGGCAAGACACACATTTATTAATTTTATCAGTGATAAAATTGAAACTCAATACTCAGTAAACATGAGTAAATCCATCTTGTCATGCTAAATCAGCCAAGAGATTAATCCAACACAAAGCAGAAGGGCCTGAGGATATGTCCATACAACTGTTACCCCAGTCAATGAGCTCACATAACACACTAACAAAACAGACTGCTACTTAAGCTCAAGAACACACAACGCTCCACTGTGAGCAAAACAGGCATTCTCACTACCTCCAAAGACCTCCCAACTTATCTACATGTTGCATTCATATTTATTGCTTTGCCTCTTAAGGGATACTGCCAACATTTAAACAGTGCCAAGCATATTCTTTAAACCTGCCGTCTGTCACGGACAGAAGTTAACAGAGCCAGGTATATGTAACGGAAAACAAATGTTTCCATTAGCTGGAGACCTTTTCTTCGCCCTAAGCACCACTGTTTCTCACAGCATGGAAAGGCTAGCAGCCACCCCTCTTTCTTACAGCATGGAAAGGCTAGCAGCAGTCTTTCCATTGGCTCATTTCAGGAGACAGAATCTCTATAAAATGAGCCTAAAAAGGAAAAGATACAAGCCTCATCAGTATGCCCTCCAGCGTGCCTTGCAGAAGCTGCTCCTTCAGGACCTGGATAAACTCTCTCAACTCATGACTACGAATTAGAAGCTTAAAGATTCCAGGAATCTGAAACAGCATAAATGGGAGACACAAACTATCCTTCATATCTTCATTCATCATTTCCTGCAAGTTATATGGGTAACTCCTGACTTTGAACATACTTGGTAGGCTGCCTTTTCTGTTAGGACTACTCTACTACAGAGGCATCCTCACCTTAACTTGTCTTAAAATATTTGCCAGTTTACCTTGGATTTTCACCTGGGGGACACTGCTGGCTTCAGATGGTGCTTTAGCAAGGTGTTTCAGTAAGTGGTTAAGAGATATTCCAGGGCTGGGGGTTGGGGTTCCTGGCATTCTTGTAGTTTGCAGCAACAAGAGAAAGAATTGCAATCATTCACTGTACCCTGCCACTGTTTAGAAAAAAACCCTATTGCTCCGCAGTTAGTATTAAAAAATACATTTTCCTTCCTTGGATGTTTAAAGCATTATGAAAATAAGCTTTTTAGATTCATCTTCCTCTTTGATATGGAGACTTGGGGACTACTGTACATGTCAGTCAAATCAAAAGCTTTGGGGTTTTACCCATTAAAAAAAATATCAAATAACGAGTTTACATGTTCATTTACAATTAATTTCACAATTAAGTCCCCGAAATCAGACATGAAACAACTATTATGACCTGAAAAGCAAAGTTGAAAGGAACTACGTGGTGCCAGCTTTCAACATTCACGTGATATGACATTTGTTTTGGTAAAAAGCTGAAGATGCCTAACTACTGTACTAGTTTTTGGTGTACTATTAAAGTGAGAGAAAGCTTCACTTCACACAGAGAACGGCACTAAGAGACATGAAAGAGCAGAAGCTTACAAGGCTTTGAAACTATAGTAATAGCTATCTTTATTTTCTAATCTAATATCTACCTGATATCTAATAGAAATCATATCATGTATGATAGGATAACCAAGTGTAGATATCGTATATTTGAAAGCCGACCTCGTTTCCTCTGTCAAAGAAGTCGCTGAAGTAACATGTTTTTAGCCAAACTACAATATAATGAAGAGGCTTCAGTAAATTTGTTCTACTAGCCTCTAGTTTTGCCCTGTCTCATACCTAGGGAAGTTACTGGTTCGAAGAAGTGCAAAAGTCATAATAAAATAATAAGAGAAACATACAAGGACATATTTAGTCCAGTCACTAAACAGGTATCTGCAAAGGGAAATGCTCTCCCGACTAAGAACAGCTATGGCAAGTTTCAGTCTCTGAAACACTGCTTAATTGTAGTTTTTAAGAGGCCACAGAAAAGCACCGAAGGAAACAATACCTACCTGGCCCTGTTCTCACACGTCCTTTTGCACAAAAGGCATAGCGTTGTAAGATAACACAGAAGTCTGGTTTGCTTGAAGGAATTCCAAATTCCTTCTTTGTTTTAAATGCAGTAACACATTTCAAATGTTCTGAATACTTTTAGACCTAGCTAGACTCAAATTTTCATAAACAAGAGTTGATTACTCTAAACAGACCATGCTGTGAATTTAGTCTATTTGGGCCCTGTTTCGATTTACACAGAGGTGTCTCATCACACTGTTTCTTCATTTAAAGAAGCCTTAAAGTAGTTGGGAACCACAAGACTTGTAATGTCAAAACCTGATACAAAGTCAGTCCAAATAAAGATTATTAAATTGTTTCCAGAACGTGGTTATTCATTTGAATAACATCTTTCTACTCCTAACTCCAGGAGTCTACATATAAGTAGTACCTGAATGCTTGGCTGTTCCTACTGCAAACTGATGCTTGAAATTTTGCGTTCACCTCCCACAGATTTAATGTAAGGACTGATTGCAACAGGAGGAATGGGTGAACAAAAATAGTACTTCATATAACCACTCGCACCATTTATGGTGCTCCAGTCTAAGAGACTCATTCTGAAGACACAGGGTGAGATCATTTGAGATGTGATTCCAGTATCTAGTTTGTATCTCTACAGGACAACTCCACTATTCAAAGTGACAGCACGTTAGCTATTAATGTTGTTGGTAGAGATCCATTTGATATTGTCACCATGCTAAATTCCTTCTTTGTCAGTCTCGATATATTATGCTAGGAATCTTTTGTAAAGCTTTCAAAAGTTATCCGCTCCTAGCACGCAGTACACTACAATATAAAACAGAAGTCATCCTGGCAGCCTTTATAAAGCGCACATTTCGGATTTTTCAATGGTTTACTTTTGTCTGTCACACACTGACAGGAGGCAGGTCAAGTAGAATACAAATTTAAAAACTTCTATCAGTTTACGCTATGATGTGACTCTATGTGAAAAGCAATTTTTTTTTTTAAATAAAGAAGGCCATTCAACCAACTTCCAACATTTATCACATCAATTCACCTCAGTGCACATCCACTCGCATATCTACTAATGCTAACAAAACTATCAAGAAAATGGATAAAAGGTGAAATAAAAAGAATGTGCCACTAGTCTATTACTCAAATGGACAGCAGCTTTGTATCGTTTAAAGAAGGTGTACATGTTTTAGAGAGGAATTACCTACTGTTTCAATGGGAGAGAGGAAAGTAGCTCTAGTATACACCAGTACTTACCTTATGGCAGTAAGGTGACGATTTATAATGGATCAGCTGATTTTGCAGTGAAACAAAGGAGTAAAGCTCCCACAGCCCCTTACTGAAGATTAATCAGGAAGCAGCAGTGACCCGCGCTCCCGCGTATGCATGTTTTAATTTCATGCAACGCAATCCAGGCTCACAAAAGGATTTTGGAAATCTAAACCAGACCTACATCTAAGAATACCCTAAGAGTGTAAAGTCTGAAATTCTGATCTAGACATGGGGCACTGAAGTCTACTCTGCTTTAGGGTATCTAAAGTTCTGCCCACCCAGAACATCACTATACTAACAGGGCTGAACAGCGTAGTGGCTAACATTAGCCACTTTGTGTAATTTTTCCACACTTACTTACTCATTAGTCCTGCAATTTATTATTAATTATAAGACTATTTCTGCTTCCCCAGATACAAAAAATGATTAAATCTATCTATTAATAAGTGCCTTTTTACCAAGTAGAAAAAAGGAATTTTATTGCATTAAAATTAATTTGTTTGCCTTTTTTCTAGAAAAGCACTAGCCTGAACACAACCTACAAACTCACCTGCAACATCAGCTTAGAACCTCAAGTGAAATAAGTGGGATAAGGCAGTTTCAAGACTCAAAAAGACTACAGAGAGCAGATTAGCTACAAAAAGACAGAAAAGAAGCTGGAGGAAAGTCTTACTGAGGCTGTCTTATAAGTCATTTCTAGTTGAAACTGTGTGCACCATTAAATTTAAAGCAGTGAACATACAGATATTTCAGTGCACTCCAACAATTCTTCCACCCCTCTCAAATGCGCGATATGATTCATGGTTTATTTTGTTTGGTCTGTGGTTGTCAAGCAGCTAAGGCAACCAGTTCCTGCTCTCCATTACATCTACAGAAGTCTAGCTTACCTCAACTGATTTCATGGGTTTCAATTCCAGTTTATCCTGTAGCATCTGAGAAGAATTTGACAAATATTTAGAGCTGCACTTTAAATGGAAAGCATCACACTGAAGAAGAGAAAGACAGAATCACTTGGCACTTAATCATAAGCAGCTCAAAACTTAAGAAACATGCCCCTTTGCATTTCAAGGCTTTCTATGAATTATGTTGGAGGACCATCCCCATTAAATGTCAGAACACTGGTCATCTACTCCTCTGTTGTTCAGTGCAAGTAAAAAGCCAAACTTGTTACAGTCAAACTGGTACAGCAGGTTTTCAACAATGCGTACATAATGTGTGACTGAAGTTCGCTACTAGCACACACCTAATACTGACAGCTCTCATGGATAGGCAAACAGACCAAATCATACCCCCATTATATATACCAAAAATTGAGAAATACGCTCACTGCAAAAATGATTTTGACCAGAAGCAATATTGAATTGAAAGTGTGCTTAGGACTTTCATTTATACAGGCATCATTCAATACCCAAGGGACATGACCTGCTGGATGCTTTTTCCTTAAGTGTATGAGAGTATTAAACATATCAAAAGGAAGAAAAATAGAGATGAAATAATGAGATCAGTAGGAAAGAAAATTCATAGAGTGATCCAGGATTAGGACACTGAAATTGAATGACTGACCCATTATGCCACTGAACACTGAAGTCAAAATTTAAGTTTGCTTTCTTGAACCTCATTTAGAAGTTGTACGACAGCTAACACAGGCACAGCTGTGGAACGCAAGCTCACCATTCCTTATATTGAACTGCTGAACAGCACTGCTTAAAGTAATAACTCCTATATCAATCTCAGCTGTAGATGCTGAATCTACTTCTGATTTTTCGGAACTACAGGCACAATACAAACTCCTTCCTCTAGTTGGGATGTTATACTAAAACGCGTATTTTTCTACTTTTATGACTGTACAAATACGGATGGGTGAATTCCCTCCAGGAACGTTAAAGGGCCCTAGCAACGGAAATGCAGAACATGAACGAATACAACGAGTTAAAAGCTTGTTTGAATATTGCAATAATGAGTTAAAGGCTTCTTCGGGTTATCTTTTATTTGTGTAAGGCCAGATTTTTAGACCAATAAACGAAGACCAAGCAGTATGTTTGCCACTACTATGTCCTTTGAAGGATGTACGAAGACGTAACCAGTACAGGCCTAATCACAAATGCACACCATTGTTAATATAATGCAGCACACAGATGAAAGACGTACAACGCCATGTTCTAGCCAGATCGTAACAGTCCACTCTAAGTTTTGTGTGTGACTGCAAACGCACCCTTTCTTTCCGAACTAATTTAGATCTAAATGTGCCAACTCTTCCAATTTACTAATTGGAGGCAACAAAGAGAAAGCCCAAGAACTTTTAAAACTAACAGAGCCTACTGAAGACAATTGCACTAGCTTCAGTGAGCAGTAGCTAATAAGAAGGGAAAAAATCTAAACTAAAAGCTGCCTTTTCAGTCCAAACTTGCCTTACCACACAAATGCTTTTACTTATAGAATTATGCGTTAAGTTTTTATATTTTCACCACTAGGGATTACTGAAAAATAACTAGAAAATATAAATGTCTCTTTCAGGTACAGATTGGACTTGCTAGTGTAACTCAGCACTACCCTAGTAAGCTTGATGACTCAAGTTTTACTGATTTGTGAGGTTTCAACGCTGATAACATGGGATAAAAGAACGTAACAGTCAAATCACTGCAGAATCCAGGACCCAGAGTAAGAGCTCTGCCTGGCCTGTGGTTTGATGTTCACTGCTACAAGACACAGTTTTTTAAGTAGAAGAGTCTCTGTATCAGTTGCTATCCCGGTCAAGAACAGTCATTTCTCTCTTCATTAGCTGATTCTGCTTTTGCAACCTACTGCTACATAGGCTAAAGAGAAGATTTCCTCACCTGCTGCCCAAAACAAACCGTAATTTACTCTGACCTAGATCATGCAAAAGCTGTAAGTTACCATCCTGTGTTACGCTGGAGTAGGAACATGCTATCAAATATCAGGTATCAAATATCAGAATCAAGGCAGGGCAAGAGCTGACACATGATGAATAAACAGGGCCAAGCCCATTTGGCAGCAGAATTACCAACAGTCATCCTATTTATAACGTTTTTACTCAAGATAGTTCGTTTACAACCTCACAGCACGTCTATAAAATCCAACGCCTAGGGCAGGCACGACATACCGGGAAAGGAAAAGCGCAGGCCTGGAGACGAATTCACCCAAGGGGGCCTTTGACCAGCCCCCAAAAGCACCGAAGGTGCCCCCGCAGCACACGGGGGACGGCGCCGCG